CAAGATGGTATGGGAGGCTCCCATGAGTTGCCACCGCAGATGTGGACGTGCGTCCTCCTCCTCCTCCTTCTCCTCCTCCTCCTCTCCAACCCGCCTTCTTCTCTTCCTCCATTTCCTTTGTTTTGATGTTTTTTTTTTGTTTCTTCCCCTCTTTTTTCTCCTTCTCCTCCCCCTCCTCCTCCTCCTCCTCCTCCTCCTCCTCCTCCTCCTCCTCCTGAGCTAGGGGATGCCGTGTGGGGCCCCTTGGCTCTTGTTCTGCTCCTCGAGGGGCCTTGGCTCCTTCTCGGGTCGGTTGGGTGCCCTCTCTCAGGCAAGTCGTTTCCTCCCTGAGGGTGGTGCCAAAGGCGGCAGCCGCAGGCTGTGCGCCGAAGGGCACGCCGTCGGACTGTGCCAGCCCGCACTCGCGGCGCTGGCCCGCACGCAGGCGTGTTGCAAGGCCTGGCAGACGCCAGCACCTAGGCGCCCTCGGCTTTCGAGTTCGACGGATCGTGAGGCGCCCCAGGGTTATTGCTATTGCTATTGCTCCTCCTCCTCCTCCTCCTCCTCCTTCAAGAGTCCAGTGGTCCTGCCGGTTTCTTCTGCTCCGCGGCGATGGCCCATGGCGCGCCTCCTGGCCTCGGGGCGGCCCCTGCCCCTCGCGGCGGCGGCCGCCGCCGCGGCGCGGCGCCGGGGCCGGCGGCGGCTCGGGGCGGCCGCCGGAGGCGGCAGTGCCGACGCCTACGAGGCGCGGGAGGAGGAGGAGGAGGAGGAGGAGGAGGAGGAGGAGGAGGAGGAGGAGGAGGCGGAGGAGGAGGATGAGGAGGAGGAGGAGGAGGAGGGGGAGGAGGAGGAGGAGGAGGAGGAGGAGGAGTAGGAGGAGGGGGATGAGGAGGAGGAGGATCATGTTGTTGTTGTTGTTGATGATGATGATGATGATGATGATGATGCTGATGGATATTATGTTGCTGCTGATGCTGCTTCTGATGCTGATGCTGATGCTACTGCAGACGATGCTTATGCTGATACTGCTGCTGTCGTTGTTGTTGATGATGCTGTTACTCCTGCGGCTGTTGATGATGCTGCTGATGATGCTGCTGATGCTGTTGCTGATGATGATTATGCTGATGTTACTGTGGATGCTGATGCTGATGATGCTATTGCTGCTGCTGCTGATGCTGCTGCTGATGATGATGCCGATGATGACGACGATGATATTGACTATTATGATGCTGATGCTGATGCTGATGATGACTCTTTTGCGGAAGATGGGTGATGGCGATTTCGACAACGATATTGTTGGTGATGGTGATGATGGGTGATGATGGTGATGATGCTGCTGCTGCTGATGCGGATGCTGATGCTGCAGATGATGACGCTGATGATGATGGTGATGATGATAGTGATGATGCTGACGATGATGATGACGATGATGATGGTGATGATAATGACGATGATGTCGATGATGATGATGACGATGAGGAGGAGGATGAGGACGAGGACGAGGACGAGGACGATGATGATGATGATGATGATGATGATGATGATGATGATGATGATGATGATGATGATGATGATGATTCTGATGCTGCTTATACAGATTCTGATGCTGATGATGATGCTGCCGCTGATGGTGATGCTGATTCTACTGCAGAGGATGCTTATGATGATGCTGTTGCTGTCGTTGTTGTTGATGATGCTGTCACTGCTGGGGCTGCTGATGATGCTGCTGATGATGCTGCTGATGATGCTGCTGATGCTGTTGCTGATGATGATTCTGCTGATGTTGCTGTGGATACTGATGCTGATGATGCTGCTGCTGCTGCTGATGCTTCTGCTGCTGCTGATGATGCTGATGATGACGACGATGATATTGATTCTTATGATGCTGATGCTGATGCTGATGATGACTCTGCTGCGGAAGATGGGTGATGGCAATGTCGACGACGACGTTGTTGGTGATGGTGATGATGGTGATGATGCTGCTGCTGCTGATGCTGATGCGGATGCTGGTGCTGCTGATGATGATGTTGATGATGATGGTGATGATGACGGTGATGATGATGATGATGATGATGATGATGATGATGATGATGATGGTGATGATGATGGTGATGATGGCGATGATGATGATGACGATGACGATGATGACGACGATGATCACGACTAGGACGAGGACCAGGATGCGGAGGTGCAGGGGGATGAGGAGGAGGATGCGGACAAAGAACATGAGCAAGCAGAGGATGTTGACGGTGTTGAGGATGCTGATGCACAAGATGGTGGAGCATGGCGAGGAGGAGGAGGAGGCAGCACGAGGCAGGCTGGCGCTCCTCCTGGGCAGGTCCTGGGCGTTCCGCGCGATGCCTCCCCTGAGGACGTGAAGGCCGCCTATGCGCCCGGGGAGCGCCGGGGGCGCCGGGCGCCTGCCTGCGGAGTCACGCGCCCCCCCCCCCCTCCGCAATCCCCCGGGGAGGAGGGCGACGAGGACGGTACGATGGTGGTGGTGACGGCGAGTGTGGCGATG